TACTGTATGAATGTATATCCTTCTATAAAGATACATATGTATATAGTTACAAAATCAATAGCAATTATTTACAACATTCATTTATAAAGGCAATTATGTGAAAATAATATATTGTCCGCAATATGCCATAAATGAAAGAAAACAGTAGGTTTTTGACAGTTTTTACCGATAAAAACACGGTTTTTATCACTGTCATGTCGAAAACCAGTTTTTGACGCCGAAAACCCAACCCTGTTTTATTTAAAATCAAGATTGGTATGATTTAAATCTCTTTGTTATTTTTGAAATAGAAAATCATAAGCCTAAATTAGTTTTATATATGTTTAAGTCTCGCAATTAGGACTGGGCGATATTAGAAATTATATATCGTGATGCATCGTCAGTTTTGCATAGCGATGTATCGCAATATATAGTATTTTTGAATTTCATTTACTTGTAAGTGTAAGGCACAGAAAGTCAGATTTCTATCAAAACTTCATACTCAGATTGATTTAAATCAATTTATAAATAAGATATATATGTTTTGCTTAAGAAAGATATTAAATAAATTGACTACAATGTACAAATCTTACTTAAAATATTTATTGAACTGTTGGTTTAGAAATTCATAATACGCGTAAAACAAAGTGTTAAAAGCTTTTTTTAAAGCGTTTTTTACAAATTAATATTTTCTTGTACTATTATGCATAAATAATTACATAATTATTAAGTTTGATCGTAATGTTCAATTTCTAAATGAAACGTTAAAAATTATTTGTATGTTTAAAACAAAGTGCTAAATAAATTTTAGAAAAAAAACGCTTTTAAAAAACTCTTTTTTATTATCATTTCAGTTAGTATAGTTCATTTACATCACATTAGAGCTGCACAATGGGCTATTGGCGACGGTTTGGGAAACATCCCTGAGGATGATCCGAAGACATACCATCACAATTTTAATCCTCTGCAGATGGGATGGCACCACGCTTCGGTAGCACGGCGACCTGCACGCGAAGTCGAGCACTTTACGGTAGAGCAGTTTAGCGAGGACCAATACCCAGGGTTCGTTGATTTAAATCAGCTTGATTTAAATCATGATTAAAGAAATTACATGTTTAAAAATCTTTTGATTATGAATAGTTTTTTCACATAATAGATGTTTACATTTTTTGATCAGGAATTACCCCAGGTCACCCTAGTTTCCTATAATTAATTATAATGTTTACAGTAGATGTGAAACAATTAAACAAAAGCTTACACTATTGTTATGTCAAAGAAAAAGAAAGTAACTCAAAATATTTATTATTAAGAAAAGGAGGGGTATCTTTGTAGAAATGTGCACATTTTGAAGCCCATCTTAGAAATGGAAAATACAGAAAGCAGTTCAAAAAACTATTATTAAGTAAATGTAGTTATACTTCAGTAAAATTATAAGCATTCTTGCCCATGTCTCAAATTTAAAAAAAAAATTAGGTGATCATTATTTACCCCAGAAACAGAGTGATCGTGAATTAACCCGGGTCACCCTAACTAATTAATGAAATACATCGGGATTTCGAAGAAAGAAAAAACAAAGCAAATGTTCGTAGCAAAAATTGTTCCAAAAAATGATTAAAACGCTACCGATATTTCCGATGGAGTCAGCGCGAATTGTGAACAAAACATTAATAACTAAAGTGCCTGATTTAAAATTTTCATAAGAGTTACTACTTTCAATCAAAAATATTAGATCGATTTTATATCAACCAACTTAAAAAACAAAAGTAGGAAATTATTTTGCCACAAATCTGAATTTGTAACAAACACTTGCATTCAAAAAATTTTATTAAAATGTAAACTAATATCTGGAATACTTGAAATTTTTTGAAAAATAAGTAAAAGCTTCGTCATATAATGCACATTATATAATAATTCTGGTGAAAAAAAATCTTTTGAAAATCTCGATAGAAAAGAAAACCTAAACTTTTTTACTTCATTATTCTTTATTCCCAAATAAAAATAGAAAAAATACGAGCATTTCTTTCCCCTCTGATATGCGTAAAAGGCTTCTTCGAGTATAATTATAGAGCGGGGGGGGGGGAATCTTTCAAACATTCCGGCAGAAAAGAAATTTTTTACTTCATTATTCCTTATTCTTCCTTCTCTTTAAATAAGAATTGAAATATTTACATTTTCCCCCTAGGATGCGTGAAAAAGGCATCTTTTAAATACAATTTTTTAGAAAAAATTTTTACAAAATTTCTGCAGAAAAGAAAACCAACATTTTTTATTTCCTTAAAAGAAAATTCTTTCTGCACTGCAAGAACTGTAACACTCTGCACTGCAACAATGTTGACATGTTGTCACGATTCTGCTGGGTGCAATGTTACTAAATAATTTATGTTGTGAAAAACATTATTTAACTAATTTCACAATAACCAAAAATTGAATAAAAATTTATCAAATACAAAAATTGTAGATAAGTTATGGCAACTAAGCATAATGATCTAGTTTAAATTTTATCCAAATAGTCTATAACTAATTCTGTTTAAAACAATAAAAACACTTGGGATTGGAAAAAAAATTTGGCAAAAATAGGGATAAAATATTTGGGAATAAAAATGCTTTAAATTTAATAATTTTTGGTACTTTTCAATTTTAATGGAGCAGATGATAAAGTTGGCAATGCAAACTTACTGAATGTAAGTAAATTCAACTACTTTTTATTATAATTTTGTTTTTTTTGATTTTTAAGTCACTAAAAAAAAAAGGTAAATAAATAGAAAAAAAAAGCTGAAAATACTAAAGCTGTTGGAATGGAAAAATACTTAATTTTATACGCTTCATCAGTTCATAGTTAAAAAATATAAATAATAGCATAGCAATCTATATCCTCTAATAAAATGGTTACATTGCCACAAAACAAGTGTTAAAAAATAACCAAGCATTTAATTTTCATGTTCAAAGCAAATCCTACACTCTAATCAGATTCAGCAATAATTGTCTAATATATTTCTCAGAAAAAGCCAGGTTTTTACTTAAAGTATTTGGTAAAAAATTAATTTTTTGTTGAAAAACCCAGGTGTGTCAGACATATTAAAAAAAAAATAATAAAAAAAAAAACTTCTTAAACTCTACATTCAAAATCATAAAATATATTTACAATAAATTCACACAAAAAAAAATCATTTTTCAGAAACATTTTAGTTTTTTAAAGCTTTTAAAGATTGCAAAGTTGTTCGTGCCTCTTTTTCAGAAAGATTTCTTTATCAGCATTTATGCCTAGATAGATGTCAAGTTTTAGTGACTTCCAGGTCATGGCCCTCAAAATCGAAAACATCAACACATATTTTTCTTTATTTTTTGTCATGTTGGCGATTATAGGTAGTAAGATCAGATAACAATATGGAAATGTACTTTTCTTTCAAAGGTATTTTCTTCAAGATGGTGGACTTAGCATCTTAATTTTACTGATTATGCTAGATAATTTAGCTTCTTTAGCAGAGAAAGATTAACTTTTGCTCAGCAGAAATTTTTGAAACTTTAAGATATTCAAGGATGAAAATATCAGTTAGCAAAAAAAGCTGAATTCTACATAAACGCAATCAAACATTATGAAATTAATAAATGTATGGAGCTTAAAAAGCGTTGAAAAAAGCTGAATTCAGAGTAAAAGCTGAAAACTTTCACGCCTGGATATTACTCCGCAATATGAACTTAGTTTTAAAAAGCCCAATGTTCTTCAATTTTATTTTTATGCCAAATTATGCACTGGGAAGAAAATATCTTAGCAGAGCATTAACCATAAGTGAAATAGATGTTTTGTTTCTGATACAAAACTTCTTATGGAATAGCGTGGTAAATTATAACATCAATTTGATAACTTTTAATACCCTTAAAATAAAACACTTGTAAGAACACAAATATCAACAATTTTCAGTAACATTATCATATTTTAAAATGAAAAAAAAAAAAATACACGATTTCCATCATAGGGCAATTAAGCACTTTTTTCATCTAAAGTAAACCACTATACCTTATTAATATTACCGGATTATTAAGAGACTAAATATTTGTGATCAAAGTTATTAAAAAAAAAAGAAAGCAACCTTTCAACTAAAGTATACTAGTATGCCAAAATTAACTGCTAACACTAACTCAAGTATCATCTTAGCTTATACTAAATAACATGGATTAAGCTAGTTTAAGATTCAAATCTATCACCAAATAGGAAGTTTTAACATAAGTCAAAATTATACATACCTAAAATGACAATATGAAACGGATACAAAATCCAGATTCTATCTGAATGAAATCTGTACACATATCTAAGTTTTGAGATATAACTATTTAAATTAGTAGTTAGAAACTCTGAAATAATAATAAAGCTATAAATATTTTAAATTAATCACCTCGTAAAACGTTAGAAAACATATATTTAAATTGTAAATAGCCCTAACAACATAGAACGATAGTGGTATTTACGTCCATAGCCATGAAGACATAACCACATAACATTAATTCGGTGATCGTTTCACATAAGCACTTCAACTTGTATTCCGAACTTAATTCTCTTCACTTCTGAATAGCTTTCAGTACACAAACTGCAACTCGTTGTTGTTCGTTAATGCTAATAAATTTCTACGAATTGCACAGGAGAGATGAAACTTCTAAGTTCAAAAGATTCAATGAGGAGTCTCAGTATAACATTCTAAAAGAGTCTCATCTGTGGAGATGAAAGCTATAAGTCGCACGGTGTTTTTGTTTATTTATATTTTATTGTCATTCGCCATATTTGTTACATAATCTCTACTTTTTCTTCCATATGTGAATCAGATTCATAATTCTTCTCATATTTTATACATTTATTCTTATTTCAGTTAGATTTTACGTTCAAGGGCACTTCTCAAGTATTTTCTGCGAACCGAGTAGATGAAAGCAAATTTTTTTAATTAACACCTCGTTCTATGTCAGAAGTTAATACCAAATGCAATTAAAGCGCAGTTCAGATTTCGGTAATTAATATATATTTGATTACTAATTAAGCCAAGTGTCAAGCAAGAAAAAAATCATCCTGTATAAATTAAAGGGTACTGACGCATAATGGACTGTTAGAATATTGTTAAACGAAACATCATGCAGATCATTGTTGAACCATCACTCCAAGATCTAATTCTTAGAAAAATAGCAGTTTTTCTGTGGAACCGAAGAAATGTTAAATCTAAAATACTTGATTTTGTAAAAAAAGATATTAAGGCTGCAGATTTTAAATATGAATGGCGTAGTTTGGAAATTGAAACAAAGGCGAATGCTTCATCTTTAGATTTACCCGAACGAACGCTAAAAAAACTATTGTTTGTAATAAAGCCAATCGGCCTCCAGATAAAAGATTGGGTCACTTCAGAAGAAGGTTGTCTTTTTGTTTCAAAACAGGAGTTGGACTTGACAGAAATTGCCTGGACTCACTTAGGAATAGTTGATCGTCAAAAACAGGTCGCTACCCTCATGAAAGACAAGACCATTGATATAGCTCGAAGATTCAAGTTGGCATGCAAGTTTTGTTTGAACACTGAGTTACGAAATTTATGGAAAAGGATGGGTGCTCGTAAGAAAAAAGACTACCTATATGAGTGCAACGGATATAGTAAAATGGATATGTTAGTTAGATATTGGACGCTGATGACTTCTGGACGATTTTTAGTTTCAGACATGCATAGTTTTACCATAAATCAAGTTATGTTTGAACATGTTCAGTATTCAAAAAACGTAAAAAACATGGCCTATTTTTGGGCTAAGATGACTCTCATCCAAAGGCGAGAAACCTTTTTAAATTTTTTTATGAATAAAGAAGTACTGCAAAACTATTCGGATGGATTTTGTTTTTTACTCACCGACTCCGAAGAAGAGCTAAATTGGGAAGTTTTTGAAAAATTCCCTTTGCAAACTATGTTGTGTTTTTTATGTTGGCCTTTACAACTCTACTTTATTGAGAGTGCAAAGCATATAGTTCCTTTTCTTTCCGGACCTCATTACGGTATCATACTGAACAACATCATCAAACTCGATGGCTATGAGGAGATGCTTCGAGAGTTTTGGCTGACCGGATCCTTAGATCAGAGAAACTATGCTATAGATCATGTTCTGATGCATAGCAGCTTGATGATAGATCTTTTGGAATTTAACGATCAAGAATCACTTCTGCTGCTGGTGAGTGAGGCAACGCCGCAACAAAAGAGAAAACTTATATTTCCAGATGAGTTGGGTTTTATTCTGTGGGATGTTTTAGTGTACGAGAAACGATGGGATGCTCTTAAATATTTAATATTTATTTGTACAGAGGATAGAAATGTCTTGGAAGAATTTGTTACAGAATGTGTAGAATTGCCAAAGTGTGCCAATGACATGAACAGAATGAAGAAGTTTGGTTTTCTGTTGCAGACTCTTTGTTTAGAAGAAGAATATGTCAATTTTTTCCACAATCTGATTTTTGAATATGGAGGATATCCTATTGAAGAGCTTTCTGATTCGCCTCCAGCTAAAAAACGGTGCTCATAAAGTTAATGTAAGTCCATTGTCAACTTAGAAATAGAATTGACACCTTTATATATTGTTTTATTTCAGGGTTAGCAAGTTTTTTGACACAGGACGGTTTTTACCGGTTATTACCATGGTTTTTACCGTCATGTCAAAAAAAAAAACAGTTTTGGTAAAATTATGTTTTTATTTGAGTTTATCTGCTTATAATTTAAAATTAAATAATTTTGGGGCAATAAAATTAGAAAAAAAGTTGTTAAAAGATATTTAAGAACAGATTCTTGCATTTTCCCAACATGTTTATATCAAAACATACTATTTGAAGTAAAATATTAGGATAAACAAAATTTTCAACATTTCCAAGCATCACTTTGTTTGGCATATTAAACTACTGAACAATGTCAAGATTGATTACTTTCATTCATAAAATCTTGCTTTGAGAAACACATGTACACATAAAAAGAAAGCCTCATAAAATAAACTTTTCTTATCATTTTTGTTTTCAATATTTTACACAGAAATGAGACATGAAAAAGCCTGGGAAATCCTTTTAGAGTTTCCTTGCAACATTGCACTAACCTTTTGTTATCATTATCCTCAATGATCTCGAATCCTCATTATTCTTGAATTTCAGACTCATTCATACTAAACTCAGAAATCGACTGGGCAATGAAAAATGTGCAAAATTAGTCACTTGCTATCGTATGCTTCGGCACAGTGACCCCGACTACTGAACATATAATTTTGTTTGTAATTAAGTTTTGTTTAATGTGCTTTTTCAACTGAATAAAAGCTTTTAACTTGACAAAATAGCAGTAATTCTTGACTTAGAGTTTGTTAGTAGTTACAAGTTTTGAAAGTTTTTTTTAGCTTATTTCTAATATTTAAGAAATGCCAAATTTTAAATTCTTC